CTAGTCGACAAGGATCTGTGGTGGTTCTCCCTGCCCGGTGGTGTATGGCAGATGGATGTACTGCACAATATTGTGCCCAAGGCCATCCACCTGTGGGCTGAGTGCCCTCTGCTAGGAGCTGCATCACTGGGGCAAGCTCTCAGCCGAGTGGGAGGAGTATAGTGCTGGCTCAGCTGCTGGCTGCATCTGGACAGGGAAGGGTTGCTTTTTGATCAAATTGGGAGTCTTATGGATGTTTTGTTCAGTATTTTTGTGTTTAGGATGTGCTTGTTTGTGGAGACGTTCTTTCCCTTTGGAAAGGTGAATCTTGAATGGGTAGGAACATGTTAAAATTGTTGATATGTTTCTGGTGAAATAATCCTGAAATTTGTGGTATTAAAATCCTTGAATGTCTTCCTGTCATTGCTATGGTTTTGGTTCCAGGGGCATTAATTGCAACAGTGTTACGCGCTGATATAGTTACATAGGGCCTTTGTTCATTTGGTTTGTTTTTGTTTTCTCCATAGTGTGAATATCAAAAGTGTCCCTGGACAGTCAGATAGGTTTGGAGGCACAGTTTTGTTCTCTCCCTTAATCATGCGAATCCTCTTTACTGTGCATTCCTTCCTTTATTAAATCTCAGATGAGCAATAGGTTCCTTTAGTGGATTTTCTTCCTAGTGCAGCCTTCTCTGTTGAGAGGCTTTGCAGTCTGGCTTGGGGGAACTGCAATGATGCAGCTCCCCAGGCTTCTTCCTCAATATCTGGATGTGCATTTTGTTCACAGGACTCTCTGAAGGCTTTCTGTAGGACTTCTTGCTGTTTTTTTTATCACTCCCTATGTTTTGATACCTGACTGGTTAGGAGGAAGGCCCTAAAGTCAGAATTTTAGGAGTGTGGGACTCTCTAAAGGCTGATTTGCAGTACATCATGTAGTTTCAGTGGAGCTTTTGTGGTAACCTTTAAGGATTCCTATTCTTGCATTCAGCTCCACACAAGTGGATTCCCTCCTTCCCCCTCCCCCCATTTTTTTCAGTGTCAACTACATCATTTTTGGGGTCTCTTTCTTGTAGGTACTCCTTTGTTTGCTTCCAAGGATCACTGGGAGAATGGGAACACATTCAACAAAGCAGTAGCAGATCAGTTGCATCATGATCATCTTAATGGAGCCTAAATTATGATTGTTCCTGCACAGACAGATATCTTTCTTGAACCAAGAAAACTGCTAGCCAGTCAGAAACTTAGAGATTTTTAAGCTGGCTTGGTCATATATTCCTCTAATGATTTGTACTTCCCTCCAGTAAATAATGTTTTCTAGATGGGCATGAATTAGGTAGGCCTCATTGGGTATAGAATTAATTTTCCTTGAGATACTTCAATTATAAATGTCCATCCTTTTAAAAGCAATTTTAAAACATAAATCTATTCCTATCACAATTACAAGGTACCTGCCCCTTTGAAAATTCTTCTCCCTTGAAAATGCCTCTTCAAGGGACAAGCCCAGTCTGATTTCTTCAGACATAGATTCATAGATGTTAGGGTCAGAAGAGACCTCAGTAGGTCATCGAGTCCGACCCCCTGCCCTGGGCAGGAAAGAGTACTGGGATCAGACAACCCCAGCTAGCTGCGTGTCCAGTCTCAAGCACCTAGCTGGGCACCTAGCAGTCCTCTCAGTGTGGCATCTTGCAATCCTCCCAATTGTGGATGGGGTCTGAGAGATGTAATAGTTGATTTACTTTTCCTCAGCAGGCCAAATCAGAGTTAGCAGCTGCAAGAGACTTCCCTTTGAGAAATATAACGCTCAAGTAGGACATAATAACGTCACCAATTCTTCTTTAATTTTTAATTTATTTATCCGTGGGATCATAGCATTTAGAGTGGGGTTAGGGGGGCAAAATGGCAGATCTAGCCGTTGGCTGGACTCCATTTGCCAGGAGCTCCTGCCCGCGTGGCTGGGGCTGTTTTCCACGGAGACCCCAGTAGCAGCCATGCTATGATTGCACAAAGCTGGGATTTCCGTGGAGACTGGCCCCAGCAGTGCTGGCAGGGTGCGTGGCAGGCTAAGAAGCTCTTGTGGAGCTGGGCTGGGATCTTTTGGCAGTGACAGCGTGGTCCAGAGCCAGGGCAGAGTTGCAATCTGCAGCTTGCATGCCTTGGACAGGCATGTGCAGACAGTGGATTGCAGCTATGCCCTGGATCCTTGCAGTGGTGACAGCATGGTCTGAAGCCAGGGCACAGCGGTGATCTACTGCCTCCATACCTGTGCCTGGGGCATGCAGGCTGCAGGTTGTTGCTATGCCCTGGCTCTGGACCTTGCTGTCACCACTGCAAGATAGCAGCCTAGATCTGGAGCAGCTCCCTGCCCTGCCGTGCATCCTGCCAGCAGGGGCAGTACTGGAGGGGTTTTGGTGTGCTATAGCCACCCCAAAATTCCCTGTAGCCACCCCTCCCAGCACCACTGCTGCCCTGCACAGGCAGCCGAGCCTGCCCCACTGCCATCCTCAGCGTAGCTCCCCCAACTGGGAAGAGGCTGGTGCTGCTGCTGCTGCCTGCCAGTGCCAGTCTCCACAGAAACCTGGGCCCTTGCTGTCATAGCGGGGTGCTGCTGGGGTCTCCACTGAAACTGGCCCCAGCCATGTGGATAGGGGCTGTTGGGAAATGGAGTCCACTGCTGGCCGGCTTCAGCCCATGAGCCAGACATTGCCTACCCTGATTTAGAGGAAAAACAATAAGATTTGCATACTTAACTATGGACCTTAACATTCCCTTCAAAGCTTAAGAAAATCCAGCTAATTAACACCGCTTTATGAAGTCTGTTCCTGAAACTTAATGTCCTTGACACCTTGTGGGTTGTTTATTTTATCTTCTCTAGACCTCTGTTTCATTTTTCCCACTTGTAGGGCCTCACACATACCCAAGCGGGGGCCTTGGGCTCAGCATGGTGAGCTGCAAAACTTCAAAGGCATTGTCACCTGTATTGTTAGTTGAATACTAGTTATTAAGTTAACTAAATATACTTTTGCCTTTCTCAGGAAGTAAGGTAGATTTTTGCAGAAGTTAAACCATTTGAATGCAGGCAGCAAACTGCTTATATGATTGTTCTAAAACATCTGTAAAATATTAATAGATATATGTGTATGTTTCACATTCTTCACAATAACTTCATGGGTTTAATGTTAGCATATTACTTTATGATTTTTTTCTCAGTTGTGAAGTTGAAACATTCTAAAATTTAAAAATATCCAATGTACTGAACCACTTTTATCAGTGCTTGAGGTACTTGTGGTATGCTTAAGTCATGAAGAGATTGTTTTTGTGATTAAGGGCCTGCAACTATCTCCAGGAAGATGAAACATCACCTGAAGCCAGCAAACAGAACTTTCCTGGGCACTGAAGGAGAGAACCAAAGGAGCTCTTCTGTACCCTACCTCAGTTTAGCAGCATCTGAACATACTTGTTTCAGGAAACATGCTTTGACTGATTAATTTTTTTATGAGAGCATGCATTTGTATGAAACACCTATTGTCATCTTGATTTATTGGTCATTTTGTTTAGTAAAATTTGTTAGACTACCTTGTTATCACCCTTCTGTGCTGCTTGAGTTATAGTCTTTTTTTCACATTTGGCTCCCTCTGCCACTGTGACACAAGATTGTAACTTTCTTTGACTGAAAGTAGGTCAACGTGTGTATATGTGTGTTTCACTTAGAGATGGGACTGAATAAAAGGCTACATAAACATTAATGTGAAACTTCTATTTCCATATCTTGGGATAGGAATTGTAGAGACTCATGTCAAACAAGTTTGCTTAAATGTGTCTGAGTAAGATAAAGGTGTTAAGTTTGGGACAGAATACCTCAGTCTAACATGATCAAGAAATATTTTTTAGACTTCTGAAGGCGGTGCATGAACCATAATGCCGTTTGCTTTTATTAGAATTCTCTACTTCTGAATAAAGTAACTGGAAGTAGCAAAGCTGCCAAATGCCTTTTTTGTTTCACACATCCAATGTTTTCCAGGCATTCACAACAGAGACAACATTGTTTAAATGTTTTATGTGCATGTAATGCTGTGTGGAACTGGTGTTTTTAATGTGTATTTAGAGTATATATTTAGAAATCAGGTGTTGTCTACAAATGCCTGGCCCTTTCTGAACCAGTCTCTATGCATGCCTGTGCATGTGTGGGGAGGCTGCTCTGACCTGCTGTTAATTACAGCATGTTGCTGTGGACCTGATTAATCAAGTCTGCTAGAGCGTGCTAATTAGTGCATTCCAGCCAGCCTCTCTGTCTTGTGTATCAGCATCCCTATGCTTCAAAATAGGGGGGGGACCTTCTGTAAAAGAGGGGGGGGGGGGGGGCCTTTAACTAAAGCTTGTTTGACAAGCTTTAGTTAAAGTGCCCCCACAACCATTTTGAAGTGCGGGAATGTTGATGCACAAGATGCTGCGGGCACTTGAATTAGAGTGGCTCTGGGAGCCACTTCAATAAATGCCCCCTCTACTCCCCTCCCTCAGCACGTGTAAAAATGCCCTAAAGTGCTGCTCTGCTGAACTTTCGGCATGTCTTCAGACTAACACGGCTAATTATCTCTGTACTCCTGGAAAGCAGAGACTGAAGTTTTTAATTTCTAAAGTGAGGAATTTTCTACACTACCATAATTTTCCCTCTTTACTTGCATATGCTACTGCCATTTATTATAGTACAACACAGTCTTGCCACATGGGATATTAATTTGTTCAATTCTGATTTTGATTATTATAGCCAAATCAATAAATTGTATATCTCACATGTGGCTAAAACCAATCTCAACTTTGTAAGGATAGTAAATTCTGTTAAGCATTTTATGCTAAGGTACGTCATAGTCTGGTTTTAAATCCAGACGGTATAATTTTCATCTAATTTGCATAACATATGTCCTATGATTTCTTTTATACCTGAATCAAATCCTTAACTTCTATCCATCACTTTTTTATGAGCTGTTTCAGTGCTTAATTGCAACTTGTTTCTGGTCTAGTTTTCTTTTTCAGCCATCAGTTCTGAGGCCTTTTCTGCTAGATTATACAGTGGTCTTGTCCAAAATCTCTTACCCAGGTAGGTACTTTGTGGGCTGTAATGAAGCTACAATAAAACATTGTGTTTGTTAGTCAAAGTAAATTAAACTTCCCGTCTCTTACTGTAAATTTAGGTTTATCAGATTCCTGGTTGTTGTAGTTGCCTCCTGAAATTTTTTCGTCTTTCAATTTGATAGGAAATTGAAGCACAGAACAACTATAATAATTTGGCCAAACTCAACATGTCTGTGGCAGACCTGATCCTTTCAGAAACTGTGACATTTTTTACTTGTGCTCCAGAAAAAAAATAAAAAAAATCTATCCTGCAAAGATGGGGGAGGGAGGTAGTTGTTTTCAGTATGTTCCTTATAGGTAAACAGCAACTGATCTATGTAAAGTCCTTGGACTTGGGAAACTGAGCTACTGCCAATAATGTGTTTCACCCCCTAGATTAGGGGTCGGCAACCTTTTAAAGGCTGCTGGCCAGATTGACCCAGGTCAGAGTTGGGCCAGCAGGTAAGCAGGCCAGTTCAAAGACCCAACCACTAAGGAAGAACAGTGTTGGGGCAGTGGGAAGTGGCAGTAGTGGGCACTTCCCTTATCCTTTCCCTGTGCCCACTGCCACCACTTTTCCTCATGCTGGCATGGGGAAAGCAAGTACTGCTGAAGTCCTGTGTCCACAGGCTATAGGTTGCCAACTGCTAGACAAATATTGGAAATGATCTAATTTTTAGGTTATAATGAACACAACTATTTGTCTTCAGGAAGTACAGTGGGGCTTGTTGGTGCCAATTTTGTATTTAACATACACTGGTGCTTTCCTAGGGATATTCATTAAAATATGTTGCACTTTGAAGTCCGTAGTGCATTCTTTCTGTTTGTAGATTTAGGTCTGTTCCACCACCAACAGTGCAGGGGAAAATTAATGTTTATAAATGCTAAACTTCAGTTGAGTAAGGCTTACCTGAGGATTACATTTCTTGTACTTGAAAGAGAGAGATTCTGCATGGCAGCTAATGCTAAGTATTTAAAAGATGTGCATCCCCAGGTGCTACGGACAGTATACTTTACATAACTGTGAAAAGGCTTTTCCTTTGAAACCCCACCTTGGTTTTTTTTTTAAATATGAAATCACCAAACGATTTGTAAATATAACTAGGTTCTCCACTTTCAGATCCTCAGTCAGATCAGACCAGCTCTTTCTGTCTAAATTGGAGAAAAAGGTGCACTACAGAAAGGCGTCAACTAGATGCACTAACTTTTTTTCACGGCTTGAAAAAAGAAACCTTCTAAATGGATTGAAAAGCCACATAATTCATCTTTTGAGAGATGAAGTTCTCTTCACAATTTTTCTCAGACAGAAGAAATAAGATTCCCAAGCAGGGTGGGGGATCAGTTTGTGGTCTAGGAAATTTTCTTCCCCAAGGATTTTATAAAAGTTTAAAGGGGAAAAAAAAGGGGTAGAGGAGGAGGGAAGGGGAGTAGACTTTAGCCACTAAACCAGAGGTAAAATAGCTACAGGCAAATACTTTTTCCAGATATCAAAGAGAGAGAGCTCGTAGGCAGTACAATAACAGAAAATGTAATAAAAGGAGAATAAGGTGAACACAATTAATTTAGCCCTAGTTTGTACTAAAACAAGAATTTGCCAGTATAGCAGTTTCTGCCAGGGAAGGAATGCTTTTATGATATGTATTGCTCAGTGGTTCTCAACCTTTTTAGACTCAAGGCACCCTTCAGAAAATGCCAGCTATTAGCTTTCACTTGTTTGTTGAGTATGGAAGCATAATAGAACGGTTTTGCTATTTCATAACTCTGACCACAACAACTCAGAATGTTTTTGATACTGTAGATTTCTATTTGAAAATTTTGGGTGTATCTTATGAATCATGTAGGTGTTTGTGCACCTAATACTATGTGACACCCGGTGGCACCCTTAAAAGGATATGGCACCCTTGTGTGCCACAGGACCCAGTTGAAAATCTCTGTTATCCCATGTCAGTTCCCTGAACAAAAATAGCTATGAATAGTTAAAGTACTTCTTGCTAGTATAATTATGTCTATATTAGGGCTTTTGCCTGCATAAAATTGTAAGACTAAAATGGTACTCCCAGCTGACATTACTGTATTAACAGAAATTTTTGGTGTCGCCCAGTCTTTAGAAACATGGGAAAAATGCAAGGGACAAAGTAAAAAGGAATTCTTTAATATGTGTTGGAGTCTTCATCCACGCTTCTAAATGTTAACTGGTGTGAGTTTCATGCAATACTATTGAACTTGTGATGCACAGAATAGCGGTGCCTGTCTTTGCCCATTTCCTCCTTCCCCCAAAGTTTCTCAAACATTGAGCAAGAAACTTCATTACCATAAAGAAAACAATGGATTTACCCTTAAGAAAACCCTTAAGGGATGTGCTTTTATCTTTACATTTTGTTTATAAGCTGCACAGGTTAGGGAAAGTTGTCCTTTGAACAGTGCCAGTTATTCTGGTGGTCATGGTCCATAATTAAGGTCCCCAAGTACAATGCATTGCAAGTAATTAATAGCAATTCCACTGCATCTGCTACACTATAGAGCTTCTGCTTGAAACTTTCCCATTTCACATGTCTAGTTTCCAGCAACAAATATGAAGCCTATTAAAATGGGATTTTGCAGGCCATCTTTTCCCTTCCATCCTAATGGTGTTCTAGATGGTAGCTAGGAGGAATGTTTACTTGTTGGCAATGATAGCATTTCATGAGGAATATTTTGACTTTGCAGAAGCCACATTAAAAATAATGTAATACATTTTTTTCAGAAGTTAAGATTTGTGTCCATGTTAATATTTATAATTGTTTTTAATATCATGTATGTTTAAACCAATGCTACTGACTGATGCAGAAAACTGTGAGCGCTTGTTTTGGTTTGAGTGGATTAATTTAATTTAGTTTATTGGTTTAAGATTAGCGATTTTGGACCAAGTGTACTGGCCTTTGGGACATATTACAAGATGCATCTATTTTGCATAAATCTATTTATACTCTTAACAGCTGTATTAAAAGAAAATTACTAAGATTTCAGAGTTGATTACTCAAGGTCTTGTCAACCTGAATAATTTATTTATAAAGGATGTGAATTATGACATGGCAACTGTATGAGTACACTTTTCAATAATGTTCTTCTAACATCGTTTTTGGCTTGTGTGTGTCCAACAAAGTAAGCTGAAAAAACTGTTCATAACTGTCGTCATACTAATGCTCTTACCGGTTATTAACAGGGCTGGTACCTTTAGATGCACTTCATGGATCTCTGTCAGTTGAGCTAATAGAGTTTTTGATAACCTGTCGTTGCCATCATCCTCACTGAGCCACCACTAAGGAGTGACAAACACATTCCTTGCTAGTGACACCAGAGGAACAGTAAGACTTTATCTTGGGTTCTGTTCCAGGCTCTTGGAATGTAGTTCACATAAACCCTCCTGTCCACTTCTTCCCCACCTTGGTTCCTTCTGCCCTACTACTTCTAACCTGTTCTCATCCTTCCTCGTGTCAGGCTCCACTTCACTGTACCTCTAGGCTTCTCATCTGAATCTCCTTGCCCAAATTCCTCGAATCTCCCCTTCCTGGCTTTTTGCTTGAATCTGTGTCTTCAGTTTGTCCCCCAAAAAGCAGCCTGTAGCAGACTGACAATACTTAAGTTCTGCAGCTCAAATGATAAGTAACTCAGAACAAGATCTCACGGTAAAGGTTAAGCAACCTCAGAATGTGGTGCTATAGCTATTAGGGGTGCACTGATAGAGATTTTTCGGGCCGATACCGATAGACAATTTTTAAGGAGCCATATTGGCCGATACCAATAGGACAGGCGCTGCACAGATGGGGTAGGGCACAGGACAAAGCCACGAGTGGCTTATTTGGGGGACGTGGGTGGGGTGGCAGGTCCCGCTGCTATGTGCACCCTGGGGGAAGCACGGGGAGGGTGAGCGTGTGCCCCCAGATCTGCATGTGGGGTGAGGGTGGGCTGCCACTGTGGGCTGGGGCTGGGGTTGCACTGGGCTCTTCCCAGTGGGGGGGGGCTGGACTGCACCTGGGGTGGGCAGCGGTGGTGCTGGGAGGGGCAGGGGGTGCTGCAGTCGCCCCAAAATTTGCCATAGCTCGCGCAGCCCTGGCCCAGCCCCCACCAGGAAGAGCCGGACGTAGCCCCAGCCTGCAACGGCAGCCCACCCTGCTCTGCGCACAGATCTGGAGGGGGGAGCACATGCCCCCATGAACTCCTGGGGTGCATGCAGCGGCTGGAGCTGCCTGCCAGATGAACTGCTTGCAGCTCTATCCCGTGCCCTGCCCCATCCTGGCTGTGCAGCGCCTTCCTCTGCCCCAGCCCCACTCCCTCCCTCGCTGTGGGCCCCTTGATCTGCCCACCCCTTCACCTACAACAAACTAACCAGCTGGACCCAGCTGCTCTCCACACTGCCATGGTGTGCTCCTGGTCAGCTACACCAGCCAAAAAGGCTGATTGCTGATGCTTTGAGTTTTCCTTATATCAGTGCTAATCCAATATGGAACCGATGTATCAGTGCACCTCTAATAACCGTCTTATCTGTAATAGTACAGGACATACTTTACTCTTGATCTTTGTGCACATAGATTATTGCTACTTGTGCTATGTGTGGATCAAGAGGTATATTATATATAACCTGATCTGTAGACTATAATTAAAAATTATATTTGATCCTCTCAAAAAAGAAAAATGAAGGGAAAGAAAAATCACATACCTGCTTTATATAACATATGCTGAAAATCCGGTGTTTTTTGTTTACTTCTGGTGCATCCTTAAGAGTTTGAACAAGTGTTCATTTCAAACAGTGGCTCAATTCAGCCCTTAATACAGAATTATTACAAACCCCACCATTAGACCAGCTGGTTTTGATTTTCCCTAGGTATCTTTGGTCTTCTCTAAACCAAATCAGGATAGGACACGGCATGTGGATTTCTATTATGCTGAAGGGGCTGGACTAGTTTACCAATCTGCAACTGTGGCACCCCTTTTGAGACTTAGAACCAC